GAGGTCGCTAGAGCCGTTCTTTTCAATGACGCCTTTCTACTTCCTCAAAGAAGGAGTCATATTCTCCGTCAAAATTGGGCACATTGATCTGTAACAAGGTCAAAGCATTGCCCCTTCCGCTGACAGGCTTCCATTCAATCATTCTATAGGCCAGGTTTCGTTCTACTATAACACCAACACCGGCCTGAATGCTTGTCGTGGAGTCTATACCTGGGTAGAATAGCTTCCATCTGCAGAGATTCACAATTTCAGATCCCTTGTGCCTCGCTAACGAGAATGACATTATATTCAGTTGGTTGCTTGCAGCTTTTTCAACTGGCTCCTGCTAATTCGCTTTCAATGAAGAGATATTGCAGTTTTCGACTGTGTTCCTACTGTTGGCATTGTCCTTGTGGAAGCCTTTGTTAAGCGTTACATTTACAACTAACCGTTTTCAAATGTATAGAAAATAAAACAAAACGTAGCCCTACTAGTCTGGAGAAACTTCCAAGAATGGTAGCTTTTTGACTCCGTCACCAGTAAATATTATCTTTATTTATTAGTAACGCTACTAATTCGTGAGGCAAGCTTTACTTGCTTTTGTATAACTACAAAATCCCTTTCCAATACTCCTGGATCTGAAAGGTGAAGCTGACAGAACGAAAAAATTGTTTTTCGCACTTTTGAAGTCAGTTTTCCACCGACTGTTTGTAGATTTCCTGCAGCATCTACATAGTTAATAACTCTTTCGAACCAGCAGTTAATGTCACTTTCAAATAGTTGATGTGATATGATATCATTGCAAACGTTCAGAATTATTATAAGGACTTGAAGTAATGCACTGTTCATATTTCTCCCAGGATATGGCCCATTTAACCATTGTATATCAGTCTACCTATTCGTATGCATGCGCATGTGTGTATTTGATACTGATTGTAAAAATATAGTGAAACGTACTGGATATCGCTTTCTTAGAACTGCCCTGCTTGTCGAACTTCTTCAGAAAACAGTAAATCAGTGCCTTTGGCACATTTGGGCAAAGAGTGAATCATTGTTAGTGTCTTAATCGATAAGCAGAATAGTCCGTAGAACCAGTGGAAATTTTACTCAGTTGAAGAACTTTGAATAATATCAATTCGTCATTTAATAACGCTTCTTCCTTCCTTAACATGTTCCATGCCTGTCTGTACAATTTAATTAATGCCAGTTATATGGCCGACAGTGGTATTTAAGATTTTAAAATATCGTAGCTTTTTCGGTAGGTTTATGATTTAAACATACCACTCGCCAGTCAGTTTCATTATTTTGCTGGAAAGATTTTCCAACTAAGCACTCGTGTGAAGACGGCTGCCACTGACCTTTTTGTTTCTAGTTATGGATTAAAGGTGGACATTTGGGCTGCCGGAGTGATCCTGTACATGATGCTGAGCGGGTTTCCTCCGTTCTACAGGTGAGTGGACTCAACGATTTTCGCTTTTTTCCTAGCCGTATCACTGAACTCAGCTTTATCTTTTAGCCCCAACGGCAAGCAGGAGGAGCTCTTTCGAATTATCCTCTCAGGACATTACAGATTTCCGCCACAGTACTGGGACGGTATTTCTAACGCTTCGAAGGTTACACACTTTGAATATTCGCAGTCACTGCTCCTGCTTAAACATTGCTTTGTTACAGAGCCTGATTCAGGGCATGCTGCAGTTTGACGACGCAGATCGGTATTCGGCACGAGAAGTACTAATTCATCCGTGGATACTGGTACCTTTGCTTTACTGTTTTTCTTAAGGAACCTTAGCAGACACCTTTATTATTTTCTTCATTGCTCTGAGTACACTTTTGTCCTGATTCTAAATTATTATTATGTATTAACTTGAGGTTAAATATTCACTGATTTGGTGATAAGCCCTCTGAGAGCTAGTCGTTTACCCGTTATGCTGCAGATGATCTTTCACTGGTCATACAGAACCTGCCAATATACTTGCAGGATGTGCTGTAGATGCTCCCAAGACAGTTATCCCGCTTAACAAACGTTCAGTTCTATAAACTTTGCTATTGTGACTGAATCACATGTCACCGTTCATGCAACTGCGACAGAGAAGCAAAGTAACTGATGTGTACCAATGTAACAAGCACTTCTGCTCTCAGCTTTTACTTTCCTCTCCCACACCGTTCCCATGAATTGCGTGAGCTAAAAATTAACCCCAAGAACTTAATAGTTGAGAAACATTTCTACCTTCTCTAGGAATCATAGCCTTACCTCTTACGTGTGATGACTAGTTCTAAATGCAGCTGATTTGCATGTAGACATAGTCAATTGTGTTATTTTTATTATCGTGCCTGTTTATCCATCGTTAGGTTAAAATGTCACCGAGTAGTGTTATGAAGCAGTTTCTTAAGTCTCAACAGTGATTCAAATTTTGCCATAGTCAGGAATGTGATTTGTTCTTAAATTTAAATTTTTACGCGTTACACCAAGTGCTGATAAAGTGTCTGATTAGACAAAACGAATCTGATCCGTAAAGCGCCTTTATCAATAACATGGCCTCAAATCTGATGACCACTGCAGGGCATAATGATTTTTTTACTGTCCTTACTGTTTACAGGTCATTAATTCGCTATCCGTTTTTAATCTAGATGCGTCGAAGTGTAGTGTGCAATTTTTTGCACAGTGGAATTACTATTTCAGCAGAAAAATTTTCGTCACATTACATCACTTTTGGATTCGAACTGGTACCTGGGGCGTGCAAGCCGAACGACTTCCCACTGCTTCCATCTCCTGGCCGATTAGCAGCTTTACCACCAACGTAACAGTATCTAACTGATTAACTGACGAAATCTAGCTTATTAATATCTAATTGGTTATGTGAAAACAGTGAACCCTCGGCGGTTGTAGTAATTCAAAGAAGTCTTGGAAATTAATTTGGTCTATTTGAAGGAAATTTTTCTTGCAGGGTGGATCTCAGGTTAATGCCGACTTTGAAGAATTCTCCGCGTTGGCGTTAAAAGACAGCGACGCCATTGACTGTGGCACAGAGCGGGTAAGTGATCTGGCATGTTCTTACGTAATGACTGATTAACAGGTTGCTCCCTTCAGAAGGACGATGATATGAGTTTGCACTCAGAATCGTTATTCCTCGGGGTCATCCTAATTGCACGAGTATTGTTTATTACCCATTTACTTCTGTCATCCATCAATCACTGTCCGTCTGTCGTTTGTAAAGGTATTCGTCCTTCATTGAAAGGGTAGATAGTATAAAAAATATCATCATGCTTTGTTCGGGAATAATGCGGACAGGTAACCCGTAAATTTCTCGTTTTTTCTGGACATCGAAATGCCGTTTTGTTAAACGAAAATGCGGCTAAATCGCACATGCCGCCATGTCATCTCTGGCTACCATCGCTTCATAATACTACCATTTCTGGATTCATTACAGGCATTCATTACCCCGTTGAGAATGTAGTTCTTTTTGGGATAAACATGGTTTAATAGAATTTTGCAGTTTACATTCGTACAGTCAGGTATATACTTCACTATGGAGGTTTTAACCTCGATGTTAGCGTTCTTTTCTTCGCTCTCTCCATGTTGCTCTAATGTCTTCTCTAAGTTGTATTAGGTTTATTTTCATATACCTCACAACCGCAGATAAACATGCGAAAGTTGTAAAAATGATTGTCTTGTACTTCTTTGCTGAAAATTTTTAAAATAATTTTTGATCATTGTGAATTCACATTTTAGTCCGTGTCCTTTGAAAAAGACTGTACATTCCAGTACTGTAGTGGAAGAGCTATGCAAGATGTGTCCTGTGATTCTGATGTTCGTGCTACAGATGACATTGTTTAGAATCATGCTCTCTGTTGCCACCTGGCTGTTGATGCCGCCCGCGTGATGTTCCTTTCAGGCGTACTGAAACTTCGTTATTCTCTGATGCGAGTGTTTCATTACCGCTGCGTCAACAAATGTTGACGGGTCACATTTTATTGCCAAACGTTTTAATAAAGTATGCATCCATCTAAATTATGACTGCCTTTATTTTTCTTTAACCGTAAAGCTACTTTAACGCAGCAAAGCCAGAAACTCAAAGTGTTGTAAAGCATTCAATATTTGAGTTTCATTTAAGGTGAAGCTTTGAACTTTCCACGTTAGCAGCCTGACGTAACTTACTAACATAGCACGATATGACTTCACACTTCATTCCAGCTGAGCTGGCTTCCTTCCTTAGCGTTGTCAGTGAACGAAGGTCATCCTGTTTGGCTACGCGCCTAAAATTCGAATGTGGGCAATACCTTTGCGCAGTGCTCTTATTCCATGGATTAACATTTGTGCTGGAATCACTATATTTTGTCAGCATGACATCTTTCGCTAAAAAGTCTGAAATACAGTTTAGCAGTAGTTCATTATTTTGTATATTTTCTATTTGTTCGTATTACCTCGCTTTACTATGCATTGAAGAAGGAAAGGAAAGCAAATTGATCGTGATTTATCTGTTCTAACTTTATCTACGAACCATTATTATGCATTTTATCAAAAACCTACATTGTTACGTACATGAATCCATAAAACCAGTCGACATTGAAAAAAACAGGTGAAATTAATACCCCAATACTGAGGTAAACCAAAACAGCGGACATGCAGATAAGGGAAATTTAAAAGTTAAAATCATAGGACCTTAATAACAAGCGGATTCTAGCGAATCAGCCTTATATTGGCCAAAACTTTCTGTAGTTTCTGTACTCAACCTCAGTATCAGACATCTGACAACCTATGATTCAATGGATGCTGACCGTCCTTTGATGAAAAAAGCGGAAAAGCATTTCAAACTTTTTATTTTCAACCTCACCGATGCAATGACCAAAAGCATTGTTGATTCCTGAAGCTTTCATCCGTTGGCAATACCATTTTACAGTAGAACGCAATGTTGTGCTAGATCAGATTTAAAGCCAATTTTTTGATCCCTGATCGGTAACATTCCTTAGCACTTATAAAGCATAGATTTCCTCGACATTTGTGCAATGGCTCGGTGATTGTACCATCGCGTAACACTGGTGCTATCCTAAGTAGACAATAAAAGCATTTAGTCTATTCAAACTATTGGCATGACTGGCTGTACGATTAATGCATTAAGGCAAGCTTGATTTTTTTTTGTGTTGAATCATTCCATTTCAATATACTATTAGATAAATTCCTCGACTATGTATGGGAAACGCATTATTGGCCGTGTCTCCTTCCGCAGCTTCTCATCTACAAGTACAAAGATCCAAACGTAGACGATGATAGAATTTTCGTGTTAAACTGTCATGTATTGCTAAAAGAATGGGACCCTCCTAACAGAAAATATATTTCTAGGTGAAATTAAAGGAAATTTAATATGACTTGTATTCAAAGCACAGTCGTATTCATTAAATCACGCATTTGGAGTTGAATCGCTCACTTAGTTAAAGCTGAACGACCTCGCTTAATTGGCATCTTCTGAAACCGATCTACAGGGCACCCTGGAAAGGTTCGCAGCCGAGTTCAGCGTGACCGATATGCGTGTGAACGCATCTAAAAGGAAAAGCCTAGTGCTTTCTCGTTCCCTAGCCCGCTGCTCTCTTCAGATTAACGAAGTGGCAATGGAGAAAGTGAAATTCAAGTACTTCGGACTCGTGTTCATTGGTGATGGAAAGCCTGAGGAAGAGAACGACCAGAGAAATGGAGTAGCCAGTGGCGTTCTGAGTTAGCCTGAACCATTGTGACTAAAGCAGAGAACAGTCTGAAAACTAAGCCCTCGATATTCAATTCGATCTTTATCCCCATACTTACCTATAGTCATGAATCGTGGACTATCACTGAAAAACTTCGAACCCGGGTACAAGCTGCTGAAATGGGCTTTCTTATACGAGTCGCTGGCCTTACGTCTCGACATAGTCCGTAACACTGATATCCGTAAGAGCCTTGGTATACAACCTTTGCTTATCCAGACTGAGAAGTCACGGCTGTTATGGTTTGGCCATTTGTTGCGAATCCCTCCAGAAAGGAAGGCTAAGCAACTCTTTCTTGGAAAATTGACTGATAGAACCCAGGGGACGGCCAAAATTAACCTGGTGCAAATATATTGAAGGAGTCAGTTCCAGGCTCCAGTTGTCTTTTGCCATAGCTCAGACTCTGGCACAGAATTGGGAACGTTGGAAGCCCTGCCTGAAGCGTCTGCCATCGCGACCCGAAAATAGAGGCGACGATGGAAGGTGAAGATGAAGATATTCGACGTAACCACCATCACACTTTTAGAACGTTGCGCAGACTGCACTGCTAAAAGTATCAAACCTGCTTATGTGGCGCTTTGAAAAGATCGATCTGTGTATCAGAATCCAGAAGTATGGTTATGCTTTCGGAATAGTTATCTTTGTTGCTATCTGGAAGGATCGGTCTTGTCACTTCGGTTATGTGAATCCTCCTTCTTCGGGACACCGATACATTCAGAAGCAATAAAATTCCGTTCCCCTCAACTTCCATCGTAGAAAAATATCTTCTTTTAAAGCCTGTTTAAATGGACTGTTGTTAGGGCAATCATTTGTGATCGCCATGAGATAATCGCGTATTGGCTCGACCGACTACTTTGTTTGTACGTTATGGTCCAACTAATCACACATCATTGTATAATCGGCTCAAATAAAGCGCCCTATGCGTTTGTACCTATGAGACCCGCTATTTTATAAGCGCCAATCATTTCGTGTATAAACTCATCATTTCTCACTTGTTCGTTATGTTGCATCGTCTCGTCTATTTGTAAGTTTGCTTTATCTGACTCGGCCACTGCAATATACTTATATTCAGACCTGTCCCTGTGAAAGTACGGCACTTATGAAAAGGTTTTCCATTCCTTTCTGGTAAATATCACCAGATATGTTTTCGACATGGCTTTTGCGAAGAACACAATAATATACTTTAAAGAGATTTTTTGCTTTAAACATTTTTTAATTTTTCACAGGAAAAGCATATCACATGCTGATATGTACGCCAGCTCATTCTATCATTATCTATAAATGGGACTTCACATGGTTATTAGTTTTGCGTGAGGGGTAGTAATAGTGCACAAACGTGAATAGCTATTAAAAGGAAAGAACCTTCGGTAGTATTGGTTACACTGTAATCCATAAAAACTTTGTTCTGCACAAGATAGTGGCTTGCTTGATTTAATTATAATAAATTCGGCCTCTATTAGTTTTCGTTATAGAATTAAAATTTTATTCATGCATATGCGTACTTTTTTTAATTTCTAAATTATTCGGAAAAGAAGGAAATGTTTAACACAGGTGGAGCTTACTGCCAGATTCTAGCCTGAAGCACTTTAGAATGCATGTAATGAAGGGTAAAGTCCGGGATCCATTCGAATTGAGTATTAAATAGTTTGTTCTGTGAAGTTTTTTTAAAAATTACTTGAAATTTGTATATTTCGACAATGCCACTAGTGTAGTTTGAATCCTGATTTGTATTTTCCCCCATCATATCTGAGTTTATCCTCTTCTTAGAGTCGGTGAAAAAGCCTGGTATAATAAAATGCAGTCGTATTACTTCATTTTGAACAGTTACACAAATTTTGCCCACAACCACATCTGTCAGATAACGAATGACTCCTCAAAGATCTGATTTCCCAGCTTATTGCGCCCACTCCTTGCTTCGAGTTGCCTAGGGAGCACTTAAACAGGCCAGGGCTCAGTAATAATTGAACATTTGCAGAGCCAGTGCATCTCATATCATTTTGTCTATTAGGGTTACCTCGCACTCGTTATGAACAATGTTTCATTAGCTGGTACTGCGTATATGTTACCGCTCAAACATCATAGGCTGTTCGTATGACTGAGCATCTTATTATTGACCCTTCCAAGGTCAAAGCAAGTGAGCGGTACAGTCTCATGATGGAATCATTGGTTATTTTTGAGCAGTTTAAAGAACTTCTTTGTCGTCGTTCCTTGTAGCTAAAACTTATTCTGTCTAAAACCACAGTATTTCTTTGCAGCTGCAGAGATCAGTCACTCATTGGCTTTCTTAATCATCTTCCCTTAATCGGACTAGGTACATGACCGGGATTTGTGGTTCAACAGAAGCAATTGTTCCGTATAATGAAGCGAACCATATGGTGCGCGATTTGCTCTTGGAAAGATTGTTGTACATTTCAGATCTTAAAAATGATATTCAAATATTTGACATTTAGACTGATTGCTGACAGTTTTATTCTTCATTTTTAGAATTTAATAGAAGCTGTAGAAAATAATCTTGTCTTTCTCACCAACTGATCTTTGCAATGTGTACCATAAGTAATAATCTGGTAGGCACACCACGCTGCACTTAATATATGTAAATGGTCGTTTACTGATAATCGAAGGCTCTCTTTTAGGTTTTTCGCCATGTCTTCCAGGTGCTGCAAATACGTGCTTCAGGTTCTACGTCAAAGCAGGGCCGGCTGCTGCGTTCAGGCAGCTACACTCCAATGCCTAAGCAATAGTGCGTTTTCCGCAAAGTCCTACATATGTGTACTATTATGATTTGTAATGTTTTAAGGGTACTGTACGATATGTGGAAGTATGAATGCTATAACTAGCAACAAACGAAATATGTGGAACGTTGCGCCTTGTGCTGATCGTCGCCATTATTCCGTTCAGCCGAAGCAGGGTGATAACCCTTTAAATTCGAGTACGCTATTGGTTTTAATATATACTACTCTGTATCCAGTGCTTCTCAGCCAGCAGTGATGCTATAGGTTGTTTGCAATTGCGGAAGCAAATTACACCTGGTCCCTGGGCGGAAAGTGCGCCTGTAACATAATCGATTGAAAA